AAAAGCTTGGGCCTCCACCTGGACTGCCAGCATCCCATATGGGAACCAGACCGAGTCCCAGCTGCTCCACTTCCCATTCACCTCCCTGCTAATGTGCCTGGGAAAGCACTAGAAGATGACCCCACGACTTGGCCCCTATGCCAAAGTGGGTGACCTGGGGCCCAGCCCTGCCACTGAGGACATTTAAGGAGTGAAATAATGCATGAGATGAGATATCCTTCATCCTCTCTCTCACTCTCTCTGACTCTGTCTTACTCTCCTTCTCTCTTTCTTGCTTTTCTATTTTTTATTTGATAGGTAGAGTTATAGACAGTGAGAGAGAGAGAGAAAGGTCTTCCTTCCATTGGTTCACTCCCCAAATGGCCTCTACAGCTGGCGATACACCGACCCGACACCAGGAGCCAGGTGCTTCCTCCTGGTCTCCCATGCAGGTGCAGGGGCCCAAGCTCTTGGGCCACCCTCCACTGGCCTCCCGGGCCACAGCAGAGAGCTGGACTGGAAGAGGAGCAACCAGGACTAGAACCCAGCACCCATACGGGATGCTGACATCCTGGGCAGAGGATTAACCAAGTGAGCCATGGCGCCAGCCCCTGCCTTTCAAATAAAGCTTAAAAAATAAAATTTACAATTATGAGATAAGGTTTTTAAAATCTAATATATACTCCAGGTAACCAGTTCACACCATATTCTGCATTTGTAATTTCCTAGGTCAGTATTCTTAAAAAAAAAAAAAAAAAACAAAAAACAAAAACACTATATAATGGCAGGAGTATAAGTGAGAGGGCGGGTATGGTAGCAAGAATTACTATGCTGTGAAAGCTGTATTTATTGAAGGCATAAAATATATATACCTTAAATAAAAGCTTTCTGGGAAAATACATAATAAAATGAGGTAAGTTTAAAAAACACTATAAAAGTGATAAATTTGTGGCTGGCGCCACGGCTCACTAGGCTAATCCTCTGCCTTGCAGCGCCGGCACACCGGGTTCTAGTCCTGGTCGGGGCGCCAGATTCTGTCCCAGTTGCCCCTCTTGCAGGCCAGCTCTCTGCTGTGGCCAATGAGTGCAGTGGAGGATGGCCCAAGTGCTTGGGCCCTAAACCCCATGGGAGACCAGGAGAAGTAGCTGGCTCCTGCCATCGGATCAGCGCTGTGTGCCGGCCACAGCGTGCTGGCCGCGGAGGCCATTGGAGGGTGAACCAACGGCAAAGGAAGACCTTTCTGTCTGTCTCTCTCTCTCACTGTCCACTCTCCCTGTCAAAAAAATAAAATAAAAAAAGAGTGATAAATTTGTTAAGTAACTTCATTGTACTAATCCTTTCCTAGTGTTTTGTAAGTACCAGGAAAGTCGAAAGGTTTGTGTGAAAATGCAGTATAAAGATCAGATGCATATAGTAACACAGACTGTGTGCCTTGAATATATACTATTTTTGTTTCTCAGTTATACTGTAATTAGGCTAGAAAAATACAACATGCAAAAATAGGTTCCTATACTTAAAATGCAAATAAAAATTAAGGAACTTAGATTAATATTGTGGGGTTTTGGTAGGCTTCATGGGACAGAAATGATTTTTAAGATATTCAGGATTTGGGCTGGCACTGTGGTGTAGCAGGTGAGGCCACCAAATGCAGTGCCGGCATCCCATATGGGGACCAGTTCAAGTCCCGGTTGCTCCATTTGCAATGCAGCTCTCTGCTATGGCTTCGGAAAGCAGTAAAGGATGGCCCAAGTCCTTGGGCCCTTGCACCCACATGGGAGACCTGGAGAAGCTCCTGGCTCCTGGCTTCAGATCAGCGCAGTTCTTGACATTGCCACCATCTGCAGTGTGATCCAGCAGGTGGAAGACCTCTCTGTCTCTCTGCCTCTCCTTCTCTCTCTGTGTAACTTTGACTTTAAAATAAATAAATCTCTTTTTTTTTACAGGCAGAGTGGACAGTGAGAGAGAGAGAGACAGAGAGAAAGGTCTTCCTTTTGCCGTTGCTTCACCCTCCAATGGCCGCCGTGGCTGGTGCGCTGCGGCCGGCGCACCATGCTGATCTGAAGCCAGGAGCCAGGTGCTTCTCCTGGTCTCCCATGGGGTGCAGGGCCCAAGCACTTGGGCCATCCTCCGCTGCACTCTGGGCCATAGCAGAGAGCTGACCTGGGAGAGGGGCAACCTGAACAGAATCCGGCGCCCCGACCGGGACTAGAACCTGGTGTGCTGGAGCTGCAGGCGGAGGATTAGCCTATTGAGCTGCAGTGCCAGCCAAAATAAATAAATCTTAAGAAACTATTCATGAACTTGACTAAACTAAATTACAGGTGGTTTCTTGAAAATAAAGATTCAGGAATTCTATCAAGAGAATACTCAAGACAATATCTAAGTAATATATTACACTGTCACCTCACCTCCGTCAAATTGAAAATTCAGAAATAGAAAATGAAAGGAAGTGTATCTGAAGGAAACCAGGAAAGTGAAAAGTGAAATGAGAATTATAAACTACTACATGCTTCTGCTTGCAGTGCTGGCGTCTCATAACAGCGCTGGTTTGAGTCCCCACTGCTCCACTTCCGACCCAGCTCCCTGATATGGCCTAGGAAAGTGGAAGATGGGCCAAGTGCTTGGGCCCCTGCACCCATGTGAGAGACCCAGAAGAAGCTCTGGGCTCCTGGATACATATCAGCTCAGCTCCGGCCATTGTGGCCCTATGGGGAGTGAAACAGCAGACCAAAGACCTCTCTCTTTCTCTCTTTCTGCCCCTGCCTCTCTGTATCTCTGCCTTTCAAAGAGTTAAATAAATCTTAAAAAAATCTTTCTTTCCCCATTTGACACTCACATGTCATCTTCCACAGTAATCAGGTGGGAAAATCAAGCAAGGTGATTCATTAGTGTAGGAGGGGTTACCAATCACATAGAGCTCAGTGTTTGTTGAAGCAGCAATTTTAAATGTAACATCATATGTAAGAAAATGTTAACAAAGTTTAAATCTCTTTGAAAGAAGCACTCTGAAAACTACACATATACCAATTCATTGAAGGATTTCCTGGACTCCATGCCTGTTCTCTCACCACAGCACTTCAGTAGAAAACTTTACAATATTTGCAATACTGAACTGCAAGTCACAGTTTTAGTTTTCCCATTCATAATTATTGAGGCCTACATAACTCACAAACAAAATTTTATAAAGGATGAAACAAAGACATTGTTTGTAGCGAACTCTCCATCTATTTTTCCCCCATAGATCTGACTTTAGTTAAACAGAGGGAAAGCATCTTAAGATATCTGGCATAAACCAATCTAATTTTGGAATCTCCCCAGAAAGTTTCTATATTTGAACTTCTTATTAGTAGTACACTAGAAATTGCTAGCCTAGGATTTTTGTGGGAGATGCTCAAGTTCTATGGTGGTCACAGGAGCAGAGGTGTGGAAAATGTAATGGAATTGAGACATAAAAACAAAAATCAAAAGAATCACATATTCATGTGGCTTTGAGAAGGGTGTAGGGACCAGCCAGCCTTTAAGATGCCTGGTGATTGTTATCAGAGAACATCTGTGGATTGGGAGCATGAGAAAACAACAGAACAGATTTTTCTTGGCTTGTTGTGTGTGAGGGAAAAGAATTATGGAATCACCGAACCAAGCTCTAAAATAGCCAAAACGAGAAAACCATGGGCAATATAAACAGGTCTAGCTAATGAGGCGAGAAAAATCCAAGACCTTCCTGAAACACGGTATAGAGATAAGGCTGTCTAGGATGGGAAGACCAGTGAGAACAAACACCTGGACTTAACATGGGGTCATTTCAACTTCTGGATTTGAACAATCAGCACTAACAGGAACAGCAAGAGTGGATGACGAGGAAACTGGAACATCCATGAGGACGTGCACCAAAGGGCTGTTTCTGAGTAGTCACTGGTCAGCATCTCATAAGATGAGGATCAAGGAACGATCCTTGGGTGTCAACACTAGGAACTGCTAACCAGAAGGAAGGGAGACTCGATTCACCACATACTGTAAGAACCAAACCACAAAACACAATACCTACGGATTTTGAAATTTTGTGCTGTTTGAAACACGGGGACAAACAGAGATTTCAATTCATCAACTGATGTTTTAGAACCAATTATATGGCAACCATTGTGGATACTGTGCAGAAACAATGCCCCTGCCCTCTCAGACCTAAAAATGGTCTAAAAATATCATAATCCAAATGATTTAAATACTTCAAAATCTAATTTAGAAGTAAAAAGAACCTGTATTGAGTTATTCAGAACATTATAGTTTTATAACTGAAACAAACATACTTAGGAAGTAATGCTTCCCTCTCAAAATTTCAGTGCCATCCTTGGATCTAGGTGCCTCTGATGATAAACAGAGTCCCCATATGCCTAGTTAATGCAATAATATGACTGGACTATGTAAATTTTACATGATACGTCTCCCCTTATAACTGCATTCATTACAATATAAGAATATATTCCTCAGGAAGTTTTTCATAAAATTAGGGAAACACTGGATATCACAGAGACAGGATTAGAATTCAGTGGGGGAAGGACACTTATTAAGCCATTGTTTTGGGTGTACCAGTTAATGCTATCACTGCTGTGTTGGAGAACCCTCAATGCAAACTGAGATAAACAATCTTAGCAAATCAGGAAAAACAGGAAGCAAAGCCTGTGAGCAGGAACCTCCTTGCTGGATGACCAGATCCATTTTCTCAGCTCCTATCCACTAAGTAAAACTATAAATCCAGAAAATGAAACAAGAGACCTGGAAATTAACACAGTCGCTGGGCATCTAAATCACCCACCCAAAAGAAGGTGACTCACCTGCTGCTGGTTCACCCACCCTGGCATCAGAATTCAGCCAGGTAGGCTCACACCTCCTGGAACTGTATGTGATATCCCGAGTACATATACGTTTTACAATATACAATTTGCAATCTATTTAGAACATATGATATTAAATTTATAATATATAAATATATGAATGATACACACAAGCATTTCAAGAAGACTCACCAGGCAAGGATGGACAAACGTGAGGGTCCTGTTGAATCCATTGCCACTCCTCCGACACCAGCATCCTGGCCCTCCCTGCAGGTATTGCTCTTGGCTGCTCACCTCCTTGTTCTTAGGGCCAGGGCTTAGCACATGTTCCAATGAAGAACTCCACGACGTTGGACACCAAGAAGAGAAAAGGGAAACAGCAGCACTGAGTACCCTTTTTATAAACTCAGTATTCAACGGCATACATCAAGTCTGACTGGATTACCTCCAGGCTCCAACCAATCAGAAAACAAAGACCAAGCCTGTGTAGGCTTGCACAGGGGGTGTGGCTCCAGGCTTCTCCTGAGCTCCTGCTGTCTGTCCCAAGAAGGCAGGGAGGCCAGGGTCCAATGCAGTGGGGCCACAAGTCGATTGTTTGTTTCACTTTTGTCATGGAATTTATTCCACCGTTCGATCTAAAATTTGACAGTACATACTCATCTGCTTTTTCTCCTTAGAGTGTTTAAATAAAGTGAAATTGCTTTTATACAACTCATGTATTGGGAGTGGTGGCTGTTTTTCAACTACTGGATTACAGAAAGAAAACAAGTATGGGATGTTGGCATTACAGGTGGTGGCTTAACCCACTGCACCACAACACTAGCCCCTAACCACAGAATTTTAGAAGCCCAATGAGTCAGAAAATAGATTGTCTCATATGTGGAAGGAATGAAAATGTATAGTTTCAGTAAGTCTGAATTATTTTTATTGCAGCAAACACATAGATATTTCAACTAGGTTGTGAGGTGTCAGATATCACACAAATGATTCATTTAGTGTCATCGTTACCATGGCTGTGTTTTTTCCTCTAACAACTTGTTTAGATGCTTGCTTTAAATGTGTGGCCAGCCTTGGAAAGCTGGAAATCTTGATGCCAAGCAGCTGTGAGATGAAATTTAAAACAGAGCTATGCCAGCTAGAACCACAGCCTAGACCTAATTCTAGTGTTTACCTCTTGGAGATAGTTGGAAATCAGAAACTATAGAAGTAAGAAAACACCATCTCCACCTCCAGACTCCACATTAAGCACCATGTGCACTGACCAACAATGCTTTACTCCCTCCTCCTTAATAAAAAAAAAGAATAATAAAAATAAGTCTATGATTGCTGCACTATGCTTATAAGATACCTCTGCTTAAAGATCCACCATTAAATACAAAATGTCAAGGTTGTATAATAACTCTAAGAGGTTTATAACTCAGAGAAAGTTCCAGGAGGCAAGTTGAGGCCTGTCCTTGTCTCTGGAAAAGTGGGCAACCCCTCAGGGCCGCAACTGTTAGTGAGCAATATTGAAAAGTCACAAGTTGAGGGACTGTGTACTAATGGAACCCTACCAACCATCTAAACGAAGAGAGAACCATCATGCAGACATTGTGCACATACCACACCACCTGTGGGTAAGACTTCCCAGGTGTGCACAGCACTGGCCCTGGAAGTGCCAGTCACAGAGTGTAATGGTGCCCACGGGAGCTGTGCAGTGTGACCACTTTGCAGTAATAACATCTCTACCCAACAGCTCTTGAGTAGCTCAGGGGTATAACAGGTACATCATGTAAAAACTAGCAGATTGATTTTTACACAGTTTCAGGAATATCAATCAGCTCATTTCACACAAGTCAGTATGTGTCACTTCTGAAGAACACTATCAGCAAACTTCAACAAAAATTTCAGTCAAGGTTTTAGGTCATTTTATACTGTGGTTCTGCAAGATTCTTTTTCTTTCTACTTGAGGCTTTCTTTGAATGGATAAAGGTTCTTTTAAACATTGCATTTATTTTAAAGGCAGAGTTACATAAAGAGAGGGAGAGACAGAGAAAGAGAAAGAGAGAGGTCTTCCATACACTAGTTCATTCCCCAAATGGCCACAACAGCCAGGACTGTGCCAGAACAAAGCCAGGAGACAGGAGCGTGGGTGCAGGAGCCCAAGCACTTGGGTATCTTGTGCTGCCCTCCCAAGTGCATTAGCAGATAGCTGGATTGGAAGTGTAGCTGAGACTCTGAATCAGTGTCCATGTGGGATGCTGGTACCACGGGCGGCGGCTTTACCAGCTAAGCCACAACAGTGGCAACAAATGTTCTTATTTTTTACTTTAAAGATTTACAAAACCCCTCAGAAAGCTAGAAATTTTATAACACAGCCAATAACTCTGAAAGGCCTAGAGTTAATAATGGGTGGAGTAGGGCATTTGGCACAGTGGTTAAGGAGAAACTACCTGGCCTGGTGACTGGACAGTGCTGTCTGTGACTGTCCACCAACCTACTTTGTTTTCAGCTGTGAGCACCAGAGCTTTGAAAGCACATTTAATAATGTACAACACAAAGAGGCAGAATGAAGGGCAGTTAGGCACAAGAGTGTACTGCTCTAGTCTTTTCCACACTGAAGGTGCGGAGGTCTGTTCAACTCCTGTGTATATTTCAACAAAGTCATCCTTCTGGTAGTGAAAGAGCTGGCATGCAACGCCACTTCATTATGCAGAATGCTGACAGAGACTTGCTGTCTAGTGGTTAAGATGCTGAATTCTAGTGGTTCAAGGGCTACGGTACATGAACAGCTTCACTCCACACATGTGGTTCAAGGTTTCATTCGCCTGAACACGGCATTCAACAAAGAATGTAAGTAGCTCAATTATCTCCCTCTAGCAAATCAAAAGTCAGTGCAGCTCTGCGGTTTCTTCTGGAACCTGCCTGACTGGCTCTTTTCTCAGGCCTTCTGTCCTTGCTATTGCCAGCTCCAGGAGGATGGGGCCTTCTGCTGGTAATCAGTGGGGCTCAGGCTTCACTGCACGTGGGTCTCTATTCAAGAGTCCCATCAGCAGAGAACCTTCCAAGACCATCCGAATGGCATCTTCTCCTGCACCTGGTCTCCCCACACACACCTCCTCCCTTGTCCTTTTCTCTGCTTTATTTTTCATTTGAAGTCTCCACCACACTTGACATTATATTCTACTGGAAGCGCTCAAGGCTGACCCAGTCTAAAATGCAAGCTCGTGAAGGCAGAGCATGGTATTGTTTATCATGCTATTCCCAGAGTCCCTGGCCAGTAACAGCCTTCCATAACCATTATATAAATTAATAAACAGGAATGGAAGCCAAACACCTCTGTTTCTAGCTTAACAGATGCTCACCTCCCTGTTAGCTTTAATGGACTCCTCTACACCGCCTGCCCTTGGTGTGCCAACAGGGAATGATGGAAGGACAGCTCTTCCCTTCCAAATGTCTTGTGTTGAAGCAGAGATGCTTCACTGAAAGGAATGTGAATTATAAAAACCTGGTGTTGATGGAAAGCACAGGAGATTTACCTCACTGTTTGTGGAAGTCTAGACGGATGCAATCCTGGAGGATAATTCAGAAGGACCTAGCAACATTTTAAACAGGAATGTACTTGACCTAGCGATTCTCAGATAATGCAGGTCATCAAAACAGTTCCAGGGATGCTCAGGTATGGATACTCCAGGTTTCTCACTCCAGCATTATTTTAATGGTAAAAAATCAGAATTATCACACAAAATAGCAACCACTTGTGTTGGAATAAAATGTAATCTTATACAGTCACTGAAGAGAATCAGATATGTATGTTTATAATGATACAAAAATTACTCTACTGTCAAGTATAAAAAGGAAGATGGAAAACCATCCTATAAAGAACACAGTTCTGCACAAAGTCATTTCTATGTGCATGTGAGCACAGTATACACACAAATACACCCCCCCACACCCCCCACACTTTTATTAAGGTGGGGAAAGCACCTGTAAGAGGACACACCAAACTGTCACCAGTGCTTCGGACATCTCCAAACAGAACTGAGGGCTAACTTCCATTTTCTTTTTTTCTACTTCCACTTTCTGAATCATAAATTGTGTAATGTGCACACTTTAGGGACAAGTAAATCACATTCAGAATAACAAAAAGTAAAGATGCTGAACTTCTTTTAAACTCTGGAACCAAAAATCTTCAGTATTTATGAAACTAAAATTCTGGGCTCTGGTATCAAGTTCCAGATGAACAAATGCAACCACTACTTGAGGCTTTATTTATTCCTGACCCATAGAATGAGGCTGGGAACACTTGTCCTATCCTCTGCTCAGGGTTCCCAGGTAGCTAAATTAAAGTCATAGGAAGAATTAAAAGTGAAACTTATGGCCTGGGAAAGCAGCAGAAGATAGCCTAATTCTTGGGCCCCTGAAACCATGCAGGGGACTGTGGGGAGCAACCCGGACTGGACTGAGTTACTGGAATTAAGACTTATTCTATGCATCTGCTCTCCCACAATATGGCGCTGAGAAGGGAAACAGCTTCTACACAGCTGCCTCCAGTTCAACCAATAAACAGCAGGACTTGCTCCTGATTGGAGGAGAGCAGCGTACTCGGCGTGTGGGCAGCTGAGTTGGGATTGGCGGAGGAGGACTATAAAAGAGGAGAGAGACGGCATGCACCAGGAACATCTAAGGGGAACATCTAAGGGGAACACCTGTGCAGCCCCCGAGAGCTGGCCGGCAGTGTGCCACTCCCCTGCGGAAGTGGGGAATGTGGCCAGGGGGAACCGCCCTTCCACGGAGGTGGAAGGGACAGTAGCCAACCCGGGAAGAACCAGCAGCAAACCCGGGGAGGGCCAAGCAGACAAAAGAACAGCGCAGGATCCTGTGTCGTTCCTCCACGAAGAGGGGGAGCGACAGGGGACCTCGAAGAAGCTCCTGACTCCAGCTTTTGAATCGGTTCAGCTCTGGCCATTGCAACCATTTACAGAGTGAACCAGTGGATGGAAGACCTCTCTCTCTCTCTGTAATTCTACCTCACAAATAAATAAATAAATCTAAAAAATTTGCTCTATCTCCCACTGCTTTTCAGACAGAAAGTGGATAAAAAGGTGCTGTGGGCTCTAAATCCATTTGACAAAAAGGACTAAGATTACGATCAGGAGCAGTAGTAAGCAGGCTTTCAACCATAAAATGGAATAAAAGCTATGTTTCTTATCACACCAAGTATTGGTCCATTGCTACTCAAAAGCAAAGCATTTCACCCTTGTAATTATGCTCACACAACATGCTTTTATATACCCTAGTGGTTTGGAAAATTTCTTCAGAATACTCAAGGTTTATTTTTAAAGAAGAGAAAATGCCAGC